GTCTGTATTCATGGTGCATAAACTGGAAAAGTCCTTTCCAATAGCCACAGTGAATTTCCTATTAGTGACATGAACAGACATAATTAGCTGAATCAGCTCTCTATCCATAGGGAGATTTATAAGTTTATAAATAAGCCCCTCATGCCAGACGCGGTCGAATGCCTTCGCCGCGTCTAGCATGAGTAAGGCGACATTTTGTTTCTTGTGGAGGCGCATCCTCAACGCAAAACTCGACGAGCCGAACCAGCTGCTTTGTAGTTGAAAGCTTTCTCCGGAAACCAAATTGTTCCGGAGGCAGTAATTCAATATAGTTTCTTCAATCTGCTTATAGATTATTCTCTCAAAGATCTTTCCTAGTCCCGGAAGCAAGCTAATGGGTCTGTACCCATCTGGCTTAGTGCTTATCCTTGCCGGGCTTAGGCAATAAAATAACTGCAAGGCAATAAAATAACTGCAAGGCAATAAAATAACTTTGCGATTTTCCACTTTGTGGGAAAATAGCATTGACTAAGACACGCATTGGACAATGCTCGTGAATTTTGTCACAACATTGCAGGGCAGATTTCTAAGTGCGTGATTATTAATACCGTTTATGCCAGGGGGCTTTTTGACTTTAAGCTTCTTTGTGATTTCTTTGATATCACTGGCGAGTAGCGGTGGCCATGTATCTTCAGCAGTGTTGGGCATTAAGCCTTTACTGCTAAGAGACTTAACAAAGTAGCATGCCTCATAGACAAAATTCATGTCCCTGGGCATCCTGTTAGGTCTGAACTGCTCCTCTAAATGGTCCACCGATTTGTTTTTATTATTATTTATATATCGATTTGTCTTTATCATTGCATGTACGCCTTTTCAAGTTTCGCATGAATGTCCAGAGAGTGCCATCATTCGGACTAAGGTTCTGAATATTTTCCTTTCATGTATCTCTCTTATGCTCATCTATTTTCTTTATAATTAATTTATTTAATTTGTTCATATCTCTTTTAACATGAGGAAAGATTTCATCTCACATGAAAAGTACAATCATCTGCATGGCTATCAATTTATTTGCATCTTTAGATTATTATATATTTTTTATGTGCACTGGTAAACTGTAACAGTGCCTATAGAAAACAATGGATACTATAAAATGAAAAATATTGGTAGCCCTACTCTACATAATCAAAACCCATTAATAGTGATAATTTATATGAATTAATTTCATAACAGTAAAATTCTACTCATTTTATAAAAGCTAAATTAAAATATTGTACTAAAAATTTCTAAAAAATCCACAGGTCACTGATGGCCAGTGGCCTTGACAATTATTATTGGTTTTAAATTTATTTTAATAATTTTTACCAATTTACTACCTTGCAGCACAAAAGTGATTCACAGGTAGATTCCTTTTGATTATCAACTTAATAGTTCATAGGTGACCAAATGTTAAGTACCGTTGTTGCCCAGTTTAACTTTGATGTAAAAAATGTTCTTAGTAGAATGATTTTGTTATATTTATTGTATTACCATGTTGTCATATTTATTCTCCACGAGACTTGGATAGTATTTTTCAAGTGCTGCATTATCTGATTCATTTGCTTTCTTACATAACTACTATTTAACAAAGCAAATGATCTTTTAATTAGTCTGTGATTGCTCAACATCTTGAACAATTTAAAAAGAAAAATATGTTCCTTGGCAATTTATTGTGCAATATTGCATCCGTAGCCTACATGTTGACACCCGTCATGTTATTGGTTAGTAGAAACTAAAGATAAAAATTAGATAAATTTTTTTAACAAGATATTTTTTAATAAAAGACTTTTTTAATGGTAAGTAGTTGAATGATAGATTAGAATCTGACCAGTATTATAACCTTTTAAATTTCAGTTTTTCTCTTTGTATGTTTTTTTAATAGTGAAACAGAAATTACAAGCATATATAGCACTCAATCTGACATTTCAAGCTCATCTTTGATGATTTTAACACAATTATTAAGTAGCAATATGCTGCATTTTGACACTGCAGGTACTATTTTGTTTACATTATCAACAGAGTAACTATATTTGTGACTTTTGGATTGCACCAATGCTGCTAGACACAAATCATTTGTACCTAGTTAACAAGAGCATTTTAAAGCACGGGCCAATTAGGTCCGGGCCCAGGACCTCACCTCAGAGAGGCCTTGTCTTGTTCTTGACTCAGATGATGATCATGATGTGAATAATTTTAATCAGCAAATGTTATACTTGGCATTTTATCCAAAAAGTTAGAAAATTCCAAATATATGCTAAATTGGCAACAGTGGCAAGACTGCATTATTATGTCATTTGTCACCTACATCTAGGCCTAGTTCCACTGCCATACACCATCATTACTCATTTAGTTGAAAAGTGGCAGTCAGCAAAGTCAGTTTGTGCCAAGGTTTGTAAGAATGTGAGTGATGCACATTTAATATGGGTTAGTATTTGACAGCCTATAATATTATCTACTGAAAATCTGTAGGTAAGAACAAGGTACATTGTAAGTACGTAATTTAAACCATCACAATTACTTTCAACATTATTTTAATTATTCCAGATTCAGGACATGTCAGAATGAAATGTTTTGAAAATGGAGCTGCAAAACGTAAAAAAATCGATGAAAAAGAAATCTATTAATAAATTACCGAAGATGACCCGAATTATTTTTTTATTAATAGAAATTCTGCATCTATTACTTCTACAATTATATCCCACAATACATTTGATGTTGAAGGACAGGGACATTGAGAAAACAACTATTTACATATTCAAGAAGAAACAATATGACTTACTTACATAATTACAATAACTGCTGAGGTTAAGGATGTTTCAAATATTTTTCTTGAAAGTATAGATCCAGGGTTGTGACCTTCATATATCGACAAGAATTTACAGTCATACTAGGTTGTGACAGTTTGTTCTAACAAACATAACAATTCTGAAAAATCAGCATGTATATACACAACAAACGAAATGATAAAACTAAAACAAGATACCTTGTTGATCAATAAACTTGCTGATCAATAAAGAGTTATGTAATGGTGAGGCTGTAGACCATGTATGGCTAATATATTCTCCATCACAAAGAAAAGTATAATTTTTCATATGTAAATTGTTTTCATCTACCAGTTCTGCATTCAACACTAACAGATTCAATGACTGGAAGTACCTCACAACATGAAAACTCACCTAAACACAGAAAATGTATGATGAGCTACGACAGTCATTTACAATTATCTAATCATGTAGATAGCCAAATTATCATACAATTCAATGATGAACGTGTTGGAATTACTGGAAAGAAGTGCTGTTATAAAGTTCTTAGCATCAAGAACACTGCCTTTCAGAGGAGAAAATGAAACTATTGGTTCAGTGAAAAATGGAAAACATTTAGGTATTTTGGAACTCCTAAGTAAGTTTGATCCATTTTTGGATGAAAATATCAAAACGTACAGCATTTCTAGAAGTTATGGCATCAAAAGTCCTGGCAACTATCATCACTGAAATACTAGAAAGCTAAGTATTACTCTGTCACTGTTGATTTTACCCCAGATGCCATTCATGCCAACCAACTAACATTGGTTACAATGTTGACTGACAATTAGACTGCCTGTCTAATTTACAACACACAAAAATGCAGTAAAAATACATGGAAGTATTTGAACTGTTTTGGTTTCTTTGAAAATATCTGCAACTTGGATGAGAGCAAAATTAAAACAGCATGTGAGAAAATATCAAATTTTTTTATAACAATGTTCATGGAGAAGAACTGAATTTGGAATGTCAACATTTCAAGTCATATCTAATCATTGATGGTGGAAAAAACTGAAGGAAAACCAAAGAGAAGCCATGGAAAAAGGAAGATTCATAAGAAATACAAGTTTACAAATGCGGGTGAAGATGAAGAATAGTTGTTGGATGAGGATATTGGGATTGGTATCAACACACTCTATACATACATGTATAATGAAATACTATTCACAGTATTCACTAATACTGAAATATTAATAAGAATTTTCTTGTCGATGATGATTATTAATGCGAGTCGTAAGCATTAACTTTCAAAATTCAAACTGGTCAAAAATGAATTGAGAAACTGTATGATTCAATTTTGTTTGAATAATTTAAGTTTGACGAGTACTGAAAATGAAATATGATTAACAGTTGATTTTGAAGAGATAATTAATGATTTTGCAAATTTAAAATGTAGAAAACAAAATTTCTAAGAAAACTTCATTTTATTATAAATTGTTTTTATTAAACCTTACATTTAATGAAATAAAAGGGAAGCAGGTGGGGCTTACTTTTGCTTAGGGGCCCAGGGCCTCAAGAAGTCTTAAAATGTCCCTACCAGCCAATACGTAAATATCAAAATAATCTTATTTTCTTTAACTGCAAAAGGAGTTTTTTCAGATATCATATTACAGGTAAATAAGCATTTTCAATTTTTCAGAATAGATGGTGAGCTTTCAGTATCTCATGAAAAGTATTTGAATAAATTGTAAGCAATTTCCTTAATGCAGTCCTAGGATTCAATTAAAATTATTTCTATTATCATTTCAAGCTGACCGGCTCATTCCTTTATGCATTTAAACTAATGCTCAGTTTGATGAGTTTGACCATTGACAAACACAAAGTAAGTTAAACTTAATTTGAACATCACAGACATTACTTTAAAATTTATCGAATTTTTTTAAAGAATTTAATCTTTTTCATCCCTTTTCTTTTTAGGTAATTTGTTTGCAAAATGTAAGTAAGAAACTTAATAAATAAATATTTAAGCTGCAGCTAGAGAAATCTACAAAATTAAAACACTGTATGACTGAAAAGTGCATGCAACTACACTAAAATGTCAATGCAAATAAATGAAAACAGAATACAACACTAATAGTCTGATTATGCAATCCTATGACAAATTTAAACAAAAGTTCATTTGTACTCGTATTTCATTTCTAATGAATTATTCAGAAACATTAGTATAAAACAAGAGGTATCATATAATAATAATCAAGATCTTTTATTAAAATAATGACACAGTTATAATATTTCAACAAATTTTAATTTAACGTAAAATTTTTCTTATATTTTATAGGAAAGCTTGATAAAAACAATTTTATCAGTAAATAATTGAATATAAACAAATGCCACTTTTGAACATAATATTTCATTACACTAATTTTCACTCAGACCCATGCTCATCTCTCCATTTCATGTATTTTTCTAATAACTCTGATGTAGCTGGTTTCGTTCTTTTTATAGCAAGGAAGACATCAGAAATTTTTAGAGGCTCAATGAAAATTCTTCCTGAAGGAATTTTGCCTAAAAGTAAAATTTATACTTTCAATGAAACAAATATGTATTAAAACATAACTAATTTATTATACAATATAATAACATGTGAAATATAAAAAATACAGTTTTTATATAACAATCTTAAAATAATAATAAAGAACATGCTACTAATTTCAATTGCCTATTTTTATACTTACATCACAAAGCATTAAGTTTAGAAAAATAATTTTTTAATTTTTAATACCTGAAAATAATAAGTTCAAGAAAATATTTGAAAGTATTATTACATAATCTTTTAATATGATGCAGTGATGCTTTGAGAAATGCCTGCCATTGTAGAATGCTCAGCAACTATTTCATAGGTTATTAGAAATGTCTTTTATTATTAGACTGACATCAGAAGTATTATTTACTCAAAACTGCCAATTTCATATAAATAACATTTATTAATTTTAATAAAGTTTATGCAGTACTACCACCATACATCTTTAGAGAATACATTTGAAAACTTACAGCAGATACATATAATATTATATGCTATACAAAACATGGTATTCATGTGATGCAAATAATGTTATAAATTTTAAATGATAAATCATGCACAGTGTAATATAAAACACAGTTCAAGATTTAAAATCTTCAGGATTTTGGCGGTTCCAAGCTTCAGAATTTTACATCATTGATTTAAATCTAGTAAATGGCATGTAGAAATTATAAAAATATGAAAGAGTGACATAATGAAGTATTTATATCTTTTCGGGAAAAAGAACAACTACACCACCATCTCTAACAATAATAATAATAGTAATAATAATAATGATGATAATAATAGCTCAATATTAACCTTGTTTGTTGTTGTAGTAATTTGTTGTTGGTCTTGTCCATATTATATGGAACAATGGTTGCCAGAACCTACTCCAATGAGAGGTCAACCTTTATTTTGCTTGATTAAATAAGTCTTTCAACAAAATTGTCTAGGAGATTTCACCACTTTACATTAATTTTATACAGACACAAATTCTTATTCAGTTACAAAATTCCATTGTTCAAGCCCAGTAACTGCCAGACTGAGAATCCTACTAAATAGGCAACTAAAATTTTTCTATTCCATCAACCTCTTTATTACTTTATTCACTATTGGTGACAATATTTTCTGGATTTAAAAATCATACTCCAGTTTTTCAGTATCTGTTAACTGAGTCATGATTGGGCACAGTCATGGCAATAAGGACTTCAGTTATAGTGTCTTCATTTTGTATTTCCTCACATATTCTACTAATAATAAAATTTCACGGTTGTTTTCCATTACAGCCATACCACTTTATGCTTTATTTGTTGCATATTTCTTTGTTGTCAGGCTTCACTTTGGTTTCTTTCTCGACATAACCATGCTTCTTGTGTAATCATAGTTGACATTATTATTTTTTTTCTTTTTTTTTAAAACTGAAATGGATTTTAATGATTTGGGATTTGCCAACAGATGGACAAGCAGTTGTCATATTTCTCCAAGAAGGAGTTATTCTGCAAAAAGAAAGACTGGGTTTGAATAACAATTAAATTAAAATATGATTTGAAGCTGAAATGGTGATGTTTTATGGATTTCAGATCATACTACAGTTCTTGTTGTCTGTTAATTAATTAAGAACATGAATATTGTCATCACAATGGAAGCCTTCAGTTATATCATTTTCATTTAGCATTTCTTCCCATATTCCATTAACCTGAAAATTTCATTTTTTACTAGTGATATTCGAAAAGTTTCAGATTTGCACCTATTATCATCATCATGAAATATGATAGTTGGCTATAATTATGCCACACATTTTTAAAGAAATATACAGACATATCCTCTCATGATCTTGCAATGCTTCACACAGCAGATTTTATATCAAAACATTTCAAGAATTTCTAGATGGTCTTACTGTTGTATTGATTTTAAATATAGTGCTTTATAATTGCTTTTAAAGGTGTGCAAAATTTTAATATGCATTGACTAAATGATGGATGAGCATTTTCAAGGAAAGAGCAAAATTAACAAGCTGGATCAAATCAAAAAATTAAGAAATAGCACAATCTGCAATACTGAACTTAAGTTCATCACTCTAATTCTTTCTTCCTTCCTTCCAGCTATGCTGACATTCAGACGAGATTAAGGCCTTTAGAGACCCTAAACACCTGAAAGACCTTTGGTATCCCCACATATATTTACAGTAAGTATAATGCCTTTCTCCAGGTCTTGGTTTAGCTGTCCTATACATTATATTAAAAGAACGGCAATGAGAAATTTTTACGATGCCCGTTTTCTTTGATGGCCTAAGCATGTACTTATTTAGCTTAATGGTTAATACAGCCCTGCTGATATTCCACTTCAAACAAACATGGGTATTTAGATTTCATGCATATCCCCTAAACCATTCAAGGGTCAAAAATGAAAAGTTTTAAATACAAGTTTTTAATACAAAACAACATGCAAGATTATTCAGTACTATTGTATATAGTGATATTTCCGAATAATAGAAATTTCAGCCAATCAGGAGAAAAATTGATTTAAGGCATACTTACTTTTTCTTTAGCATTGTATTCTCTGTTACTACACTGTGTGAATATCATTACGGTTACTGGACATCTGTATTTTGAACATTGTACTGTATTATCAACATAAAAAAAGTACAGGACTCCAGATATCCAGATTAACTGGAATCATCACACTCAGCATGAATAATTAAAAATGTTAAATGATTAGAATTTCCCCTCTGCAAACCAAGTACATTATTTACTGCAATGCAAGTAAGGGTATTTTCCCCCCTTTATTTAATGCATTTTATTTCAACAAAGGTCATATGATAAAAACACAAAATGCCAAAAACTAAATTAATAGCCCTTCTGGGCAAATTGCCCCTTTGGGCTAAAAATAAAAAATGTAAAAGGGTTCAGCCTTTAAAGGTCACCCATATGAACTCTTTTAAAGTTATTATCCTGATAAACCATATTATACTTTAAAAGTGAACAATATTGCACAGGATGAGACTATACTACAGTCATTTTCATTATAACAATCCCTCATTACAATGAGTTTTTCTGTATTGCTGAAAGAAGGTTATAAAGAATGCGGACTAAATGTAACAAAACCACAAGACAAAAATAAAAAATATCTTGCAATATTTAAGAATAATTTTACAATAATAAATAAAATAAAAAAATTTCGAAAGCTTTCAGATTTTATATTATGCCTAAAGGGGCGTTTTTTTAACGTTTTGTGTCTTACTTTTATTTATTAAATATCATGTTTTTTGCACTTAAACCATAAAATTCAATTCAACAGCAATATAAAAAAATATTTAAAAGATGATACCTTTAGAATTTCTGATACACAGTATCGCATGCTGGACATAAAATTGTCCCCCCGTACAGTGTTGTCATTGCTTGCTTTAAAATGATTGAGTTTCTTAATCAAAAACTCATAAATGCTTTACAAGATATGAAATAGATAATAAGACAAATTCCAGATTTGGGCTTCCAGATGCCCATATTCGGGTGGAGACGTATGTGATTCAAAATTTGACGGCTGCAGGTACTGTTGTTTTATCACAATGAGAGAAACATACATACATTTATGCAGATTCTTCATTTATTTCATTTCTTTAAATATAATACTAGACTCTAATATCTGGTGGCAACAATTTAAAAAGTGATTCGCCATTTATAGTGAATCAACGCAAAATGCCAAAAACTAAATTAATAGCCCTTCTGGGCTAAAAATAAAAAATGTGAAAGGATTTAGACTTTTAGGTCACCCACATGAACTCTTTTAAAGTATAATATGGTTTATCAGGAGAGATTATCAACAGAGATGGCCCAAGTGGAATAGTAAAAGATTTTATAGGCAAATTTACATTACTCTAACATGGGAACATTATATTTCTTTAAGTGAAAAAATACATAATGTAATTCTACAAAAATATTTAACATTTATATTTAAATGAATCAGATTAAAAAGTAATACTAATTGTTCGGTGTCTGAAAGAGTATTGCTTGGCAGCATTGTTTTACGCCAAGCAGAGTTTGGCTTTAGTATAACCCTAAAGTTATTTCATTTTTGCCTTATCAGTATGTATGATTTCTGACTTGATGTAAGAGCATATGGTTGCTCGCTTTTAGCTAGGTTACATAGGTAACTATAAGCACATGCGTGTGCTAGTATTCAATAATGTTGTTTTTGTTAAAATAAATTTGTTATTGTTAATTTTACAGTCCACTTACTGAAGTTAAGTTTCATTAACTAATTTGGAGCTATCTTCGGCAGGAACACTAATTTTCTTAAAAACAGCGTCTATTGCTTTTAAATAGCTTAGTTTGTCAATGAATAACAGACAGATTAAATTTTAAATATAAATATCATGCATTTTGCCAAATGGCAACAAACATGAAAGAAAAGTGAAATACAAAATCGTGTTTTGAGACTAATAGCTCTTTCGGGCTAATAATAATACAATAAATAAGAAATATATTAAATAAATAAAGAAATATATTAAATAAATAAAGAAATATATTAAATAAATAAAGAAATATATTAAATATATAAAATAAAGATTTAATGTTATATAGCGAAACAGTGCAAAATTAAAAAATATCATGTTAGAATAAGAAATTGAAAAAGCACCATCTTTACTGTTCTCTAGAGCTTTAAATGCTTGACGTATACAGTTCATTTTTGCTTCTTTACAGATAAGTTCAATGTCTGCAGCAGAATAACAATTTGTAGCCTTGGGAAAAAAGAAAAGAAATTACCACATGAATAGTATATGTTAAATCTACAAAATAAATTATGATATATTCAGAATAGCATAAATATACAAGATGATTCTTAATACCATCTTCAAGTTTTGAAAATTTAAGAGTCCTGAAACCATAATAAAGCACCCTCCCCATTTTGAACGTACTTTGCAAGTGTTTGCTATTTGCATCCTAGGTGATCCGGCAGACTTTGATTTGAGCTGACAATTCTGGTGACCCTATTGGTTTTGCACTGTACAAGCAGCTAGGCTGTGAGCTTTTGCACTTTGTAAAAACTGTCTTACCTATAGGTACTTTTGTTTGATATTTCATTTGGAATCTATTGAACTATCACAACAAACTTCCATCAAACAAATTTTATAATGCAATGAGCTTTGTGTTCACCAGTATATACAATGCTTACATTATCCTGTCGCTTAGTGGCTAAATCTACACTATATATTCTCCAATATCTGTAAATATATGCACTTTTTTCCTTTATTAGCACAAAGGGTGTTAGCCTTGAAGGGCTATTAATTTCGTTTTGGCATTTTGTAGTATTTAAATATAAATGGCTTTTCACTTTTCATATTGTTGCCATCAAATATTATCGCCCTGCAAAGGAAAAAAATATTATAAAGTATATTTTCTTTCTTTACAGGGCGATAGAATATATATTTAAAGATATGGAGATATATATTTATTGTGTAAACATATATAAAAATATATATTTAAAGAAATAAATGAACAATCTTCATAAATGTATGTATGTATGTTTCTCGCAATATGATAAAACAACGGTACCTACAGCCATCAAATTTTGAATAACGTATTTCTCTACCCAAAGATGGCATCCAGAAGCCCAAATTTGGAATTTGTTTTATTACCCATTTTATGTTTTGTAAAGCATTCATGAATTTTTTATTAAGAAACTCGATGATTTCAAAACATACAATGACAACACTGTATGGAAAAAAAAAAAAAAAATATCTCCAGTGCACAAGACTGTGTATCAGAAATTCTGAAGATATGCTCTTTTTAAATTATTTTGTGATATTGCTGAATTGAATTTTATGGTTTAAGTGTGAAAAACACAATATTTAATAAAGGTAACACACAAAACGTTAAAAAAAAAAAAAGCCCATCCCCCAATATAAAATCTGAAAACTTTCGGATTTGTTTTTTAAAATTTTTTATTACTTTACTGTAAACTTTTGAAAACTTAACAGAGCATTATGGATCTCTCTAAGTTTTCATACAATATGAAACACAGTTAAAAAAAATATTCTACACTTATGGAATAAACAAGTATTAGGTACCTAGATAATAATCGAGTACACCTAGATAGTATTCTACACCTAGGTAACGAACAAGTAAACACAAATATTTTTAAATGTCTGAAACAGAAACAGAAAATTAGCTGATATGTTCCAGTTTTATACATTTCAAATGCCATATTTCAGTAAGTTTTTTTCATATATTTCAGAAATAAAATTCCTGAAGTCTAAACTGCTGTTTAGCTTTTTTTTCTGTTAGCGAAATCATGGACGAAATTCCAAAAGCTTATTTGCCAAAAGACAGTTGTTGCTCTGCACACAGTTCAATGAAACTTTTAAAACACAAGTTAGTCATTTTTAGGTGTTAAGAGCTTCTTAATCAATTTTTAGTTAGAAAATTCACTCTCACACAAAGTAATACTCAGAACAATTATCAAGAAAATGCACAGTAGTAGTGCTACAATATTTGGAACTCCATTCTGCAGACTATATTTTTTAATAAACTGCAAAAATTGAAAGTGATCATACATCTACATTTCTGTTTTGCTTCTCAAGCAATAACAATAATGACACTCCAAAGTATACCTCTTTTAGTGAGGAACTCCTCCTTATTTATGTCATTAAGGTCATAATCTAATTGATACTCATATTTTTCCTTCAAAAGTTTCAATGGAGTAAGAAAGGTATAGCAATAATATGAAGTTATTAAAATTTCTTTGTGATTTCTTTGAGTACTTTGTCCAATGTAAAAACATATTGCACATGTTTTGCAGAAATTTAACTTTCAGGTAGTTTATTCTCCCATCAATAAAATTCCGAGTTCCATACTCAAGAACCCCATTCTGGATATGAATTCCTGGGGTATTTATAAGATTCCTTGCCAGTGTGGCTTAATTTACATTAGCCAAACTAAGAAAGCCTTAAAATTTCGCGTCAAGGAACATGAAGCATATGTTAGAAAAAAGAAAACACAGAAGTCTTCTGTTGCTCAACATTGTGGTCCAAAAATCACACTTTCAATTTTTCTGCTGCCAAAATTATTCAAAAAACATCTTCCATTGGAGAACTGGATTTTCTAGAGGCATTTCACATTCAAAAAAATCTTTCTGTTCTAGTTAACGATCCTAATTCCAATCCAAATTTGCCTTCGGCTTTTAGAGAAATTATGTTTTAGTTCTGGTTTCGCCAACAGATGGCGCCACTTGCTTATTCTTGTCCAGGCTTTCTTATCTTATCTAAACATTATTTCCTATCTTGTTCATTTGCGGTTTTGCAGCTGAAGATGATGGTTCGGTAAAACCATCGAAACTAGTCCTGTGAAAATTTTGTAAATTAACGCTGATTTTTGTTGTTTGACTTCTGAATTAGTCTTTCTTGTTCACTGATTTTCAATTGTTGCCATTTTGGTTGCTCTATGTTGTGTTTTCAGTTTGCTGTTCAGGTCACTAATGTTTAAGATAATTAGTTCTCCCGCTGACTGTGAGATTCGTGCCGTGATTAAATTTTTGAACGCGAGGAATGTTAAACCGGCCGAAATTTATCGTCAAGCGACAGAAGTTTACGGCGAATACGCGATAAGTGATGGAATGGTGAGAAAGTGGGTAAGAATGTTTAATGCAGGTTGAAGAAATGTCCACGCCGAGGCTTCTGTTTTCACCGATGATTTGGTAAGGAAAGTTGATGAAGCAATTCATGAGAACAGACGCTTCACAATGACAACTCTTTCAGAGGCATTTCCACAAATTTCACGTACTGTTTTGTTTGAAATTGTGTCTGACCGCTTGAATTATCGCAAACTGTGTTCCCGATGGGTTCCAAAAATGCTCACTGATGTTCACAAAACAAAGCGACTTGGTAGTGCCCTGACATTTCTCATGCGGACATTTCTTGCACGGACTTGGCGCCGTCCGACTATCACTTGTTTCTGCACATGAAACGCGAGCTTGGTGGTAAGCGCTTTGGATCTGACGATGACACGAAAAATGCTGTGGAGTCATGGTTATCGAAACTGGTGGGAAGTTTCTTTGACGATGGTATACAAAAACTGGTCACCCGCTATGACAAGTGTTTGATCATTGGTGGAAACTATGTTGAAAAATAGTTTAAGACATGTATTTTTATGTAAAAATAAAATTGGATTCGAAAAAATTGTTTTACTAATTTTTTTTTTTTTTAAACGGTACTTAGTTTCCGAATACGCCTCATATATATCACTTTACTACTAATTACCAACTTTAATATGGTAAGAAAACTCTTAACTTAAATTTTGCAATAGTCCTTTTTAATTTGGTTATGTCCTGTCCTGTCTTGAAAAAATCTAAAGTGAATCATCTTAAAATTAATCTACCATGGCATCTTATCTAAGCTTAACAATGCAGACATTTTTTCTCTGATCACATTAAAGAAATTCTTGACTATATATCTCACACTTTCTGAATACACAACTACTTTCACCCTGCCTTGACTGCACGTGTCATATGCCACTCTCTTTTGTACATTGTCTAAGGATGTGATATGCTATAGAAAATTTTGGGGTGCATATCACACCCAATATTATGTATGAATCAATATTGCATCTGTAGAATTGCTTTCAGCAGTAAAATTATGCTGAATTCAGCCACATCTGTCTGTGAATGTCATCTTATGCATTCAGCTATTTCTTAATCATGCAGACAATTTATTTAGTCAGGACAGGATTTTTCACCAGTCTCGATCCCAGTGGCAAGTACATACAAGTTTGAAAGCTCTAAAGAGTGAAACAAAATATGGCATTATGACTGCAACTTGAAACTAATTCACTTTGGGGAGGAAAAAGTGCTTTCATATTAGGTCAAGGTAAATCTGCATTTATGCAGATTCTTCATAATTTAATTTCTTTAAATATAACAGAGGGCTCTAATATTTGGTAGAAACAATTTAAAAAGTGAATCGACGCAAAATGCCAAAACAAAATTAATAGTCTTTCTGAGCAAATTGCCACTTTGGACTAAAAAATTTTTTTTAATCTGAAAGTCTTCGGATTTTACATTAAACCCAAAGCAGCATTTTTTTTTTTAATGTTTTGTGTGTTACCATTATTTATTAACTATCATGTTCTTCACACTTATAACATAAAATTATTTAACAACTATATCATGTAAATAAAACACATATTCAACAGCAATATCCCAAAGTAATTTTAAAATGAGCATATCTTTAGAATTTTCGATACACAGTCTCGCACATTGCAGATAAAAATGTTTTTCTTTCCGTACAGTGTTGCCATTGCTCATTTTGAAATAGTCAAGTTTGTTAATAAAAAATTCGTTAAAGTATTATAAAATATGAAATCGATAATAAAGTAAATTCGAAATTAGGGCTTCCAGATGCCCATATTCGGTGGAGTATTACATTATTCAAAATTTGATGGCTCTAGGTACCATTGTTTTATCACAATGCAAGAAACATACATATATTTATGCAGATTCTCCATTATTTAGTTTCTTTAACTATAACACAGGGCAATAATATTTTGTGGCAACAATTTGAAAAGTGAATCGACATTTTAAGTTTTAGCGTAAAATGCCAAAACGAAATTAATAGCCCTTTAGGGCTAAAAATTAAAAAAAACCTGAAAGCGTTCAGATTTTTATATTACACCCAAAGGGCTTACTATTTTTTTTTATGTTTTGTATGTTACCTGTATTTATTAAATATTATGTTCTCTGCAATTAAACCATAAAATTGAATTCAACAGCAGCATAACAAAATATTTAAAACAGCATGACATTAGAATTTCCGATACACAGTCTCGCGAGCTGGACATAAAAATGCCCCCCCCCCATACAGTGTTGCCATTGTTCGCTTGGAAATCACTGAGTTTCTTAATTAAAAACTCATAAATGCTTTCCAAAATATGAAATAGATAATAAAACAAATTCCAAATTTGGGCTTCCAGATGCCCATATTCGTGTGGAGATGTACGTTATTCAAAATTTGATGTCTCGAGGTACAGTTATTTTATCACAATGCGAGAAATATACATACATTTATGCAGATTCTTCCTTATTTAATTACTTTAAATATAATACAAGGCTATAATACTTGGTGGCAACAATTTAAAAAGTAATTTACCATTTATAGCAAAATGTCAAAATGAAATTAATAGCCCTTCTGGGCAAATTGCCCCTTTGGACTAATAAAAATAAAAGAGAGAGAGAGAAAAGTGCGAGAAGATTATTCAGTATCTGCTTTAAAAAAAATTTTGAAATTATAAGTTTCTTGAATAATTTTAATGCTATTTCATAATTTATATGTAATGTTTTTAATATTGCTTTTATATGTTTAAATTAAGAAATTAATGGTTCTTTAACCAAATTATAAATGCAGATAAGGTCAAAAACTTTAATAACATCCACATTACTATGCTTACAGAAGATGGCATGCCAGATTAATTTTGATTGAGATGACGTACTTTAGATTCATCAGTATAGGAAGGAGATGTAACCCAAATTAAAATGAGGAATTAAAAGGACCACTGTCAAATTAAAGTTAGCAGTTCATATTTTGAACATTATACATATCTCATAAATTTATTCCAAATTATGCAAATTTAGAGCCCCTCTAACAAATTTACTCAAAAAGAGGTACTCCATATAAAAGGACAACTAAATGTCAAACAGCCTTTCAAAATTTAAAAGATGCTTTAATTTCTAGACCCATTTTTTAACACTATTTAATCTAAATTATCCCTACCATGTATTTGTAGCTGCATCTACAGAAGCTGTTAATGCAGTTTTAAAATAAGAGCATCCAAATAGTAATTAACACCCTAGAGCTTTTCATTCTTGAAAATAAAGACCTTTAGAAAGAAATTATGCTATTACTGCATTGGAATGTTTAGCCATTGTATATGCCAGGGATGGGCAAACTACAGCCCGCGGGCCAAAACCGGCCCGCCTGAAGATTCTATCCGGCCCGCCGGTAGAATTTTAATTTGCCGGTCCGAGGCAAATTAAAAGAAATACATATTTATATATTATATATTCATCTCCTTTTTCTACTTCGTTTAAATATTATTTTTTTCTTCTTTCCCAAAAGACTGATGATCTTTTTATTTTCTATATTTTTGTTCTACAACACATAAATTGACGGAAATAGCAAGCACAGACAGCTTTCAATCGGTAAAGTGTTAAAAGTGGAAAGTTCTTTGTTAGTTATAGCTGCAGATTGGCGCCAACAAGCGTTATCGCTTTCTCAGGGAGCAGACATATGGGAATCTAGTGTAGGTGAATTAGATTTCACATGTGGCAGACTGCGCATTTTAAGCTCCAGCCAGCGGCCTTTTCTTTTGGCGCGAGATCCAATGTTATTCATTGCATATGGAAAGATTGCGGACATATAGCATCATTGTGAATAGTGGTGAAATTATTAAAAGTATAGCGTAGCTAGTGCTTGTTTGGGTTATTCGTAAAATATTTAAACCCCGAAATGGCTACTAATAAACGTAAAGTTGATTCAGAGTGCCGTGCTTTTAATGATGAATGGACCTGGAAATATTTTTTACAGTTGTAAAAGATAAACCAGTGTGTCTCGTGCAATGAAGCTGAAGCAGTCTTCAAGGAATATAACATTTCCCATCATTTCACACCTAAGCATAAGAATTCCAGTTACGAAGAATATGAAAGCAAACAAAATGCAGAAAGTCTTTGTAAAAAATTATTTGGCTGACAAAATATTTATAAGAAGATTAACAATCTAACAATCATCTCAAGCAGTTGTTTCTAAATATGCCAAAGTTAGAGTTTTACAAATCATTATCGAACGTAAGTTTCCCAAATTTAATATCTCACGCCCAGAAAATCAGTGCTATGCTTGCTTCATCTTATATATGTGAACAAGTGTTTAAAGTATAAACCTTGGAAAAGAATTATTTCAGAAGTAGACAGACTGATGAGCATTTAGCCTCGTTCCTTTAGAATCAGTACATCTCACTTCGAAGTTCAATATAAGGAACTTTAAAATTAATTAAATCGCAATTTCATTCATCTGTTAACATATTTTAAATTGTAATACTTGTATATTGTTTTTAAAATTTTAGAAAAATTTATGTTGGCCCGCCAAACTTTTTTTTATCGATTTGTGGCCCGCGACCGAAAAAGTTTGCCCATCCCTGGTATATGCTATAGATAAGTTTTATTACTATAGCATGGATATCATTTGCATTGAAATTACTTTACTGTACTGTACATGCTGCTGCAGTTTGGAACCTTTAAAAGACGGGTGGCCTAAGAATCGGCCAGAGCTGCAGTGTCTCAACTGTGGCCGAAATATCGGCCAGCAACTTCCCTTCCCTCCTACCCTTCAGGTTGCGGAGATAGTCATTGTCCGAATAACCTCCCTTGCCACTTATGTGAGATGACCTTCGCGCCTCCCAACTATGGGGTTTCGTAAGTTCCCTTTTGTTTCCCTCAGCAGTGAAATCCTATCAATGTTACATTAGTATTAATTTCACCAACTTTTCAGTATCATTAAAAATGTATTTTTTCTTTATATTTCCCCTTTTTATTCTAATTTTTGTATTTAATATTGCTTTTTGAAACATACAAAATGCAATGGAGTACAATGCAATGAAAATATAATCAATAAAATCTGTTTTTAAAGTAAAGGAAAACAATTTAAAAAAAAAAAAAAAAGTTAAAGGATAAAAAAAGCTTTTATCACAAAACTGCAAGAAAGATCAATGAACAATAATGTAGTTGAAAGATGAAATAACTTACGATACAATGGGGGAAAATCAATAAATTAAAACTGAATAAGAATACTAATGAAAAAGGTAAACGAAACTAATATAAGAAAAATACAATGGGATTTGTTTGATATATAAATATAAGTTGTTACACAATGCTTGGAAACAAATAAAAGCGAACTGCCGATTTATATGAGAAACAAATAGTTAAACATCATTTTCGAGTATAAATTAAAAATGTTAATTAGTACATGTAATTCTAAATTCAGTTTGAAAACAAATAAAAACTGAATAAACTATGAACTGATTATAGGCGTGCATTTGCTGCTACGGCGTATTTTCATTATGATGCAATGTCAAAAGTTAATATTCCAACATACGACAATTATTTAGCTACCAAATCTCACCATAATATGTTTCCCTAGTTTAGGGAAAAGAAACAGCAGAAAAGAGAACAAATTCAACAAATTCTTTTATATTATTCCCTAGTCTCTTATCTGAAAATTAACAAAAGCAACCCCCAAAGGCGACCTACAGGAAAAGTTGCAAAAGAGTAGTAGTTTCCCTTTACAATGGCAGCTAAAAGGGGGGTGGAAATGCATTTGGATTTCCTGTCCTTTTAAGTGAAACCTTTCCAAACTGCCCCGTCTTTTAAAGGTTAAGAATATAAAACATCCTACAAGTAGATTATTTCAATGGTCTTTATGATTATGTATATATGATTTCAACGTACGATATAAAAATGGTTCTACTAAAGTTGAAGCCGATACATTAACAAGAAATCCTATTTGCCAACATTCATGTGTACAAACTAATTTATTATCATTAAAAGAAATTGAAGATCATCAAAATTTGGATAACATTTGTAACCTTAAGTATAAGAAACTTAATAATGTGTTAACTACAAAGGAACAAGTATTGTGTAAAATTGTAATTTGTTTTGCACAAAATTTACTTCAAAAAGTTTGTATTGAATTTGGTCTTTATGAATTCATAATTTTATGCTGGATAAAGCAATTTTGGAGAAAAAATATCAGCACTGCTATGATTACATAAGGCATGATAGACTAATTTTGAGATGATTCAGACAGGACGGAGATGTAGGCAAAATAAAGCTAGTAGTTTTCTTTTATAATCTCTCTCTTTTGCATGTGCTCCCACATACACACAAGCAATTTTAGCAAGCTTACAATTAGACTTCTTATATCTGCATTAAGATTTCATCCCCCTTTTTTTTTCTTATACAGAATATGTCACACAATCTATGTTACGTAAATAACTTATTATGATGATTCATTTAAAAGACATACACTTTGGGAAGAATGATATCATGAGGAAATTTCTATCAATAGGTTGATCCATATTACAAATGGAAAAGGCATGATTAATTGATAAACTGATGCTAAACATGTTCATTCTTGAATGAATTTTTACATTTTTTAAAATGTTGCAGTAAGAAAAGCAGCAACAGCAGTTTAGAAAAACACAGAAGCAGAAAGTGAATGCAACATGTTCAAGAAGACATATCAATTCAGAATTAAGTGGTTTTGGCTCCTTTATTTTAATTGGTCATTCAATCTTAAACTCTCAACATTTAAAATGATAACCACACAAGAATCATGTGACATGGATAATTTTTTAATGACCCAGTTCAAAGTGATCTATTATAAGCAATTACTATTATCAGGACAGAAAGGGGAAATAAAGAAATAAAAATGAAAAGTTAAGGAGCTACTGCAAATTAAAGTAAACTCTCTCTCTTACACACATAATAGATACCTATTCATTAAAAAAAAGTACAAATTACTTAAACATTTTAAAAACATTAATGGATATCTATTACTTTTCTGAATTTTATACACATAAAAATAATAATTCCTTGAATGTATGATTTATATTCAACATCTTTTAATACAAAAAAAGACAACCGCTAAACTACACATACTTTTGAAAGTTCCTCATAATTTAAATTTATCTGCATTTTCACATTTTTAGCAATATCAAGGCATGGTGGTAAGAATTTCTTAAATAAAAGAGTTCTATTTTCAGCATCAGGTTGTGAAATAAGAATACGCTTTTCCATTCTTCTTATTAGAGCACAATCCAGTTCCCTGGGGAAAAAAAAATGCAATGAATTAATGAATTCTTTTTCATTAATATTATATTAAACTTCAATAACAGAAATCAAGCAGTAAATACAGTGACAGAAAATGAAATCCTAACACCAAGAAAATATCAGCTTAGATGAATGAAATGTATGCAAAGCAGTTTAAGTAACATATTTATTTGATAAATGTTTCAAGGTCCCAGGTTAAAGTATATATGAGAAAATCGATTTCATATGTGAAATGGTGGTACAATAAATAACTGCTGTAGTTGCCTTAATGTTGAATAGAAGCATGTAAACATGCATGTATTGTGCCATATACAGATGGAGGACAAAATAATGCGAACACCTGTGAAAAAGTATGATGTATTTCCCACCTGCAGTACAGCTACGCCACCTGCAACAGAAGTCTGACACCTAGTTGAGCATGAAGAGGAAGGTATCAGTCTCTCAAAAGCAGTCACCTGCGTTGCATGCTTCGATCGAACTGCCTGTGAGAAGTTGACATGTCAGACCTGTCAGAGTTCCAAAGAGGAATGATAGTTGGAGCGCGTTTAAGTGGAGCATCAGTTATGGAAACAGCAAACCTTGTGAGGTGTACAAGGAGTAGGGTATCAGCCGTTATGACAGCGTGCATGAAAGAGGGTAAGACGACGTCTTCAAAGCACAATAGTGGTCGAAAGTAAAAGCTGGCTGATAGGGATAGACGGGTTTCGAAGCACATAGTAGCCCGAAAGCACAAGCAATCGTAATCTGAGATAACATCCGAAATGAAAAGTCATCTCCAGGACTCCGCTTCAACAAAAACTGTCAAAAGGGAACTTCATGCTGTAAACATTTATGGCCGAGTGGCAATTCGTAAACCCTTGGTGAGAACAACTAATGCTTTCAAGTGACGCTAATTGTGCAGAAATCACAAAGGCTGGTCCCCACACCAGTGGCAACAGGTAATATGGTCAGATGAATCGTCATTCACCCTATTTCAGACGACCGGATGCTTTTATGTCTGGAGAACGCCCAAAGAAGCGTTTCATCCTGACTGCCTCTTGCCGACTGTGAAGCATGGGGCCGCACCATTATGGTATAGGACAGAGGTGGGGAACCTTTTTACCATTAGAGGCTACATTTAAATTAGGCAGCAATAAGAGAGGCCGCATAAGCTGAGTTGAGAAAGTGGGACTTTTGTGAAATATTAGAGTTTTCTATAGATTTAACAATTTTGCATTATATAGAAAAAAATAAATATAATGCTACAAATTTTAAATATAATATACAATAAAATAATATAAAAATATATAAAAAATACAATAAAAATTTTTTATTCACTAAGATAGTGACTTATTTGGCTTTGTTTTTGTTTGACAGTAATTGTATATTGGATCAAGCTTTCGTAACACACAGCTTTAATTGATCCTTAAATGTGCATCTGTAATTGCGTTCTTAAATTTGTTTTTATTCTTGACATGAGAGAAAATGTTGTCTCGCAACAGTAGGTACTTCCGAAGCAGGAAAGTAAACGGCGAGCATGTTCTCGAAGGCATGGATATTCAACAGCATTTTTCCAGATTTCTATGGAATCTTTTTTAGCGTTAAAAAGGGATTTGATGATACTATCTTCCCTTAAATCAATTAACTCCATTTGTAGTTCTACAGGAGCCTCGGAAGCCCGCACTGTTAACTACAGTTAGCTGAAGATCGAAACAGGGAAGCGTTGAGAGATGCGAGTCAGAGAAGCCAAAGCAAGGTGTGACACTCAAATGGGAGATCTGAAATGAGTTTTTTTACTCTTAGACAAGGTAGTTGGCGGCTGCTAGCTGTGGCCAGAGCCTCGCTCATGCGTGTTAGAGTCCGTTTCAGACTAGTATTCTGACGTCATGTTACAATATGACTGTCTTTGGTGGGATTTTTCGCGCAACTGTCATGGCGTTGATGTCCAATAGTTGTTTGAAACGAACTCTACCATTTTGTACTAGATGGCAAAGGGCCGCACAAGAACCTCGCGGAGGCCGCAGGTTCCCCACCTATGGTATAGGATGTGATATCTTGGCATGGTCTTGGGGCACTTGTTATTCTGCATGGGAAGATCACATTCAATCACTATCTAAGCATTCTAGGGGATCATGTGCATTCTTTTGTCCAGACTGTATTCCCTGGGAAGCGACTGCTTTTTTCAAGACGACAATGCCTCCATCCACACTGCTAGGTGTATTCAAGAATGGTTCGAAGAGCATGATGATGCAATTGAACATCTCGCTTGACCCCCCTCAATCTCTGTACTTGAATATTATTGAACATTTATGGGCATATTTGGAGTCCAAACTTCATTCCCATTTCCACCTCCATCCGGACTTTCGGAATTAGAGACCACTCTGCAGGAGGAATGGCTTAATATTCCTTTAAATACTATCCATGACCTTTATGCATCTATCCCACGTCACAAATATTTTCAATTATTTCACAGGTGTTCCTATTACAGTCAAAATCTTTAATCCGGACTTGTCGGGACTTCGGCGATTCCGGATTATAGATCAGTTTAAATCTGGTAAGATGGCATACAGAAATTATAAAATTAAAAATATGAAACCGTAATTTATGAAATAAGAGCAATTATGATCTAAAGGGTATCAAAATTTACAAAAAAAAAAAAAAAAGCTAATATTATTTGTTTACTTTATTAAACATGTCTTCAATGCGCGCATGGTAAAGCGCACCATAGTCGAATTATAAAATTGCAACCAGAAAACTATTTGATGTGTATTTGTGATATTTATAATGACGAGGAAATTTTAAATTATATCAGAGTACATCGGATGAAACACTTCATTTATTGAGGAATATAAGCCGAATAAAATAAAACATCTGCCCTGAAGATGAGGATAGTGCTGACAGATCAACTTCCAGTTCATTGCGCGTCGCGACATTTGCCCCTCCCTTCTGCTGAGCAGTGTGAAATTGATAAACAGATTTCGGAATGGTTAGAGAAATAAATCACTTCTCTGTCACTTTCTTCATGCCTTTATCCATTTTTTTCAGCAGTTCCACTTTTTGTTTAATGGACATCGAAACATGCTTTCGCTTTGCAGATCCTTTGGCAGCTCCTGCATCGGAAATTCTATTTGACATAATCGAAAGTTCAAGCTTACTTTTACTTATAGGCAGGACCGGATTTAGATTTGAGGAGATCCTAAGCTATTTGAGATATAGGGCCCTTTATGAGGGATACGAGTCAATTTTTTTTTTATATGGGATATGCTACAATTTTTTGAAGGGGGCCCAGGAAAGTAAAGGCCCAAAACTGAAGCTTGTTCAACTTATAAATTAATCTGGCACTGGTTGTCACCTTGGACAGCAATACACAAAGACACATCTAGGTACAGAATCAATGAGACTATGGATGGATAAGGAATGGCTCTCCATTCCCTGTCAACCATTTGCCACAGTTTGGCTTCTTACATAGCAATGGCAAGGTCTGCAAATGGCATCTAATCACAGCCCAAAAGTGTTTAATTAGTGAGAAATCAAGAAAGAACAGTGGTCAGAAAAGCACCTGTACACCCTGCACAGTAATTGCAAGCAGTGTGTGGTCAGGTGTTATCCTGTTAATAAAGGGCATTGGGCACTCTCTAAAGGTAGGGGTTGTCACTGGCTGCAGCACATCATTCATGTATCGTTGTGCCATCATTGTGCCCTGAATACAAACTACAGGTGACCTGGAATCATACACAATTGGGCTCCAAATCATGATGCCACGCTGTCATGCAGTGAGGCATTTCAGAATGCTGCCGGATTGGACCTGCCTCCACATCGATGCCACACTCATACATGACGACTATCACTGGAGAAACAGAAAACGACCTTGTGTCATTCTGTCGAGCATATTGCTCGAGCCAAGTACCATTACAGACATTGGCGGCTTCTGGTCAGTATGGGAACATCTAGGGTGTCTTGAACATGCTCCCAAATAGAGGTAAAAGTGGCTTGTGGGTGTGCCACCGCTTCAATCCACGAGTGCTGACATCACTGTGGCTGCAGTAGCACCCCTTGAATTTGCCACATTTTCTTATTCCAACAATTGTTGACACAGCTGGTGAACTGTGGATAAGTCCAGGGGTGTGTCAGCTGAGTTTTGCCGTATCGAGAAACCTGCCCTTCTGAGTTCGATCATCATGCCCCTCATAAAAATTGTCTGTCTCATGGAACTGCCTCCGTTGACAACAGCCTGGCATTCTCTGCTGTTACACATGCCCTCGGAGACAAGAACAAATTTTCTACAATGATTTCCCTAGCAGAAATTATGGCACGAAAATTGAACAATCTGCTGGTTCCTGTCCTTATATCTTATTCAACGTACGCTGGAGAGCTGTGCATTTCACATCACTCGCATAACTTAATGATGTGTATCTATTCTGAAATTTGCATAATTTTCAATCCACTCCTTCTTGGTGTTGCATTTTCAATGTCGGGTAGCGTATATCAACTGTCACTAAAAAATCCACGGATACACTAGACTTTGACTATTTTGTATGGTGTAATGCTTGCATTCTCTCTATTTCTTAGGATGTTTTTCCAGTTAGCTTTGTGCTACTGAGCTACTGACTTTTAAGACCTTATTAATTTAGAAGTCAAACAACAAAAATCAGTGTTATATTTGCAAATTTTTTAAGACCTTATTGAAACTTAATTCAAGATAAATGTATGCCTGATTTCTGATTTTTTTTTTTTTTAAAAAAGCTAGATTATTGTATCTGCCATGCATTTCTGTTTGGCAAGTTACACATGGCAGCTCAATGGCTGGCTACACAAGCAGCTAGTTAAAAAAATCAAGAAAGCTGCCCAATTAATATTTTTTTTATTATCCTTTTTTTTAAGAGAGTGAAGGGTTTGTTTTATAATCTAAGAAAATTCAAATTTTTATAACATATACGTTTTTGGATGGTATAATTTTAAAGTTCTATAAAAGTAATATAATATTATGTTTCACAATAAAATTAAGGAAATCAGCTTTTAAAATGAAATGCTGAGGAAAGTATATTAACTCATAAAATTATAAAATGGGAAAATTTAAAAATGGCAGAGCACAATTTATTGCAAATAAATTTAAACTCTAATCAACTGTTAAACTTTTTTTGTTTCTGAGATTAACAAAAGAAAATAAATAGTAAATACAAAATCTATCTATAGAGAAAAGGGGGAAGAGAAACATTTATAAAATGGCAAAAAGCAAACTTAATTTCTATAGTTTCTATAGCAAACTCAATTTCATCAAAAATGATTCTTTCTAGCAAAGAGAGGGAAATTGCTAATTAAACAAATAAAACCAGCAATACTTTAAAACTCCAAGCAAATCATGTGACACCAAAGGAAATACTGCAGCTTTCCTTTCTGCTTAAAAGTCTGCATAATACTTTCTAAAAATTGTAGAAAACCATCCCCCCAATTAATACCTTTTTCACTGCTGTTTTAAATGAGGGCTAAGAATTTGTGAAGTATTTAAAATTTTATAACAGATGCTTTTTTAGATGTCAAAATTTTAAAATAATGATAATCAAATAGTCAAAAAAGGAGCGATATTCAAAAACCCACCCCAAAAATCAGAAATTCTCTTAAAAATCCTTATTTAAAAGATTATTTTTGTTCACTTTATTTGACAGTGTAAACAGCAAAATTCTGAGATTTTTAGTTTGTTAATTTAAATGATGATATGAACAAAAATATTTTCAACAATAAATAAATAAAAAATTTTAACAAAATGTGTAAAAATTTAAAAAGCTCACACCATAACTAATTTGATGTTCAGATTTTCATTCCCATATCTTTACATATCTGAACCTTCATAATGGACAGTTTGTGGATACTGTCCATTATGAAGACCCTTAAAGCTGAAGACTAGTGCCCTCCCATTTAGTGAACACTCCATTATAATGGATCATGGCTCTGTCATTATGCACTAGCAAGAGGTTTGTATTATTAAAGTTTTGTTTTACTATCTTTTAGTTAACACAATGACAATCAGGACAGAATGTTACAGAATAAATCTTCTAATAATATGAAATTGAATAAGTTAAAAATTAAGATTATAAAATTTACTCAACTACAATTAACTTACCATGGCATATTTGAAGCCCCCATAAACAACACAAATTTGTCATACGATGCCAAACAATCCATTTGTAAAAAGAATTCTGTCTTCATTCTTCTACTAGCTTCATGATCCCTGGAAAAAAATTATCCTTTGTAAGCATTTTGATTTCATTTTAGCCCTTCCTTCTTTGTTATACAGTAGCACCTCCCAATAAGGGACACCCACCAGACCAGATATTTTGTCCTTTGAATAGAGGCGTCTCTTCTCCAGAAGGTACATACTAATAATATACAATTTAATTAGAAATTCAGGTTGTATCAAGTTTTAAATAAATGATATACAAGTAAGTAACACAGTCACAGGTATTGATTTGAATTTGAAATTAATGAAAAATGAAAATGCTTAGTTAAAAATGTATGAAATGAACAACAGAGTTTTGTACTTACATAAATTTATTGAAAATAATACATTAAACGGGTATGATCAACTAGAGTTGAAATAAAAGATTTTATGTCATAAATGATGTCTATAGTACACAAGTGTTAATAGATTCCTAAATACTCTTGAATTTGAGCATTGCCACTGATTTTAACAAGTCATTTTCCTCAATAGCATTTTCACTAAGGGCACTCAAAATTGAAATTTCAATTGGAAGCCTGTGTTTCTTAAAACAGTGCAGGGCATACCTTTTTGACATGAATTTAATAGCTTTTGTTATCCACAGAATGATAATTAATACACTGACACATTTTGCAAGGTAATCGCTTTTTCTGTAAGCAGCTTGTCAAAAACCATGCCATAATCAACCTTAAAGCTTCCAACTCTACCTTGGTCCAAAGGCTGTAATATTGACGTTGCATTAAACGAGAAAAACATTAATTTTATTGATTTCAGTTTTGCATTTGGTGGGTGAGCTGGCCAATTGTCATGAAATAAGAGAATCTTCTAATTTGTTTTAGACCACGAGCAATCAATTAAAATTATGCTTTGCTTCATCCTTGATTTTTTATTGTGATGCCAATGTACCAGTAAAGATTTTGGATTGATGTGTTTGAAGCATCTTGGATTTTTAGCTTTTCCAATTACAAGTAGTTGCTCAAACTCTCTTTCCATGATACAACAAAGTAACACAGTAAGACATTCCTTGGAGCTTTTACCACCAGAGCACTTTTCGCCTTTGAAGCATAAAGTTTTATTCAGCAAAATTTGATAAAATAATCCAGTTTCATCTGCATTGTAGATGTTTTTAGCTTCATATCCTCCACAAATTTCATTTAGCTTTTTATCCAGTCTGAGAAATGTTGCACATCTACTGATTTTTCTTCACCACAAATAGTATCAAAAGTAATGTTATGTCTTTGCTTAATTTGTCTAATCAGCCACTTGATACTTTAAGGTTCCGTAGTCCCAGACTTTCTGCAACTTCTTTTGCTTTTTTTTTTTGCAATAATACCCCACTTACAGGAATATTGTTTGCTCTTACGGAACAAAACCAGTTGAACACTAATGTATCAATTTCACTTGCTTCAGTTTTTCTAAATTTTAGTCTTGTAATGTTCATTTGAATTAGCAATCCATAGTAATTTTACTTCTTCTCTATCCTTTAGCACTTGACTTACTTGGTTTTTACTTATTCTAAATTTCTGCTCTAAATCTCTCAAACTAAGCTTTTCAGTTTCTGCTACATGAATTAAAGTGACTTCTTGTTTTAAGGTTAATCTTTTTCTCTTTGAAGCCATGATAAATAAGATATAAAAATAACACACAAGAACAAAACTATACTTCTTTCACTTCTCTGCACTAGCAAAAACAAAAAATGACAGAAGTTTTCACACTGTTCACATTGTGAGATTTCTGTTCTTGACAGGTGGTCCAATTGCCTTACCACCATTTCTTTCTCATTAGCTTCTGTCTTTGATTGATATACAACTTGCTAACACTCTTTTCTTTCTCCTACTGAGAACTGTAGCAAAAATATCTGGGCATTGAAGTCTGTGAATAAGAGATTTCCTTTTAATTTTACCTTAACTTGCTTTTTCCAAATGTATTGTTCTCCTTTTCCCGACTGAAAAGCAGTTTTCAAAAGAGAGGGATTAGCTTTTCACTTCATTGTTTCCTTGTCACAAAAGTACCTTTCACTGAGCACAAACTCATCTTTGAAACCTCAAAAGAATACTAACAAAGACTATTTCTATTTTTATTTATTTCTTACCTTAATAAGAGGTAAATACATTAAGGTCCCCTATCCAAAGGGACCAAAACCAACAGAATTGTCTTTTTAATAGAGGTGTCCCTTACAGGAGGTATTACAGTATATTGTTGGCTTTCTTATAATTACAACAGATTAAAGCAGATTATTTTCAAAATTACTTACCCACATCTATGACTAATCAGAGAATCAATTTCATCTACAAATATCACTGATGGAGCATAATATTTAGCCAAATCAAACAATACCTTAAAATGAAAAATTTCTTTTAGTTAGGGGGGAATTCTGCAAATGTATATTATTATAAGAGTACATTTTTTTCTGTAGCAATGAATTAGTAAATATTTTCAGAGAAATATACTCATCATATTTTTAATATTTATCTCATAAGTCATTAAATTTTTGGCTCAAAATATTCAATAACAGTAACAAAACCATATTTAAATTAAGCAATACGGGAGGGGGATTTGTTACTTATTATGCATTTTGAATAGGAAGTGCATTATGCATTGCTTTTTTTTTATTTATTCTTGCCAATTTCTCTAGAAATTTTGCCTTTTCTACAAAAGAAAATCATGAAACTTGACCTGTTTAACAATTTTGCATTATTTAATCTGAAATTTTCTGAGTATTCTGAGGAAGTGAACAAACAAAACCAGTAACTAAAATATACTTCGATTAAATGTTTAAAATCTTCTAATTATTCATGATCAAAGACAAAAACAATTAACTCATAACGAAAAGAATTTGAAGAAAGAAACAACTGTGTTTAAGACACAGTATCAAAATAAATATACAAGCTATTCAAACATTAAAATATTGCTAAAAAAGATAAACAGATTTTAAATTATGCCTATTTTTATGAATATTGAATCAAATGTACTAATTATCCTATAGAAGAATTATAAAAATATTCAGATTTGAAAATATAAGCAAGCACACCCATGTCTGTGGAGCTATGATTGTAGAGGGGATATAAGTGCAAGACAGGTTTTTTGGCGATTTTTGTGCTTGTACACCTTCATGACATTAGCCATTTCTTGCAAGAGCTGGGTAAATTTTATAAAGTATCAGGTAAATAAGAGTAGTCATGAATGTATGAATGAGATGGGGAATTGTTGGTAGATTGGAAGCAGTCAGTCACGTGCAGGTGGCTACAGAGTTCAATATAACGCTCAGTGCCATCTTGAATTTGCAGAAACAGTTTCAGAACACTGGACCCATATCAAGAAGATCTGGGCAATCTCAACCAAGATCCACAATGGCAAATGAGGATCGTTATTTGGCAATTTCAGCGCAGTAACAAAGGACTGCTACAGCTTCATTGCTCTCATGAGCTGTATGCTGCCAATGGAACCCAATTTCAAAGTCTACAGTTGCCCAAAGACTTCAGAAGATAGGGTTATATGCCAGAAGATCTGCTGTTTCTGTCCTGCTCATTGCAGCACAAAGAAGAGTGCATTTAGTGTGGTGTAGACAACATGCATCTTGGACCAAACTTCACAGCAGTACTATGTTTTTTGCAGAATAGTCAAGATTCAGTACGAAGAGACTCTCAGTGTATCTGTATCTTGAGACAGCCTTAACACGATACCATCACAATGTTTTGGGGAGGCACTACGTTCGACAGCTTCACACCCCTGCATGTATTTGACAATGGCTTCCTGAGGTATAGAGAAGATATCTTAAGAGTCCTATGTTCGACATTTCAGGGGCACAGTTGGTCCTGGGTTTTCCTGTTAATGGATGACAACCCTGATCTACCTGGAACTCAGCTTGTTGATGATTACCTAGAAAGTGAGGATATTTGCCACATGGCTAGAGCAGTCTTGGAAGGGCAATTTCATCTCACCATCTCTGTCCAAGAACCATCTTAGAGTTAAAAACTGCCTTGCTACAGGAGTGGAAATGATTACCACAGAGACTCCTCAACTGCCTCTTGTACAGTATGTCATCATGCTGCATGATATGTCTGGCTGTAAGATGGAACCATGCCCCATATTAGACTCATTTCCAGTTCAATATCAAAATGTAGATTTTGGACAACCTTGCATTATGAGCTTTACTGGTAATCATGCATACATAAAATGTATGCATAAATAAAGTTTTTAATGTTACATCTCTTTCTCTCTTATAAATGCCAAAATTCATACAAAATTTCATTGAAATATGTCCATTAGTTTTTAGAAATTCGACATAATATGCAAATTTTCTTAGTTTTGCACATAGTGTATATATTTTCTTTAGACATTTATTTGCAATAACAGGGTTTATCAAAATAATGGAGAATTTTATTAAAATAACTTCAGCATTAGTGGTAAAGCACCAGTTGCTCATTTGAGCACTAGTTTTGTAAATACAACATCTAACTTTTCAGAGTTCCTTTGGGCAGAAAGTACAGTAAGTAAAATGTCCATTATGGTTTCAGAAATTAAACAATAAGATGCATACATTTAGGTATAAAATTTAAGTATAAGCATTGTAACGTATTTGTGTTGCTACACTACCAACGTAAATCCACTAAGAAATGTAAATTACTGCAGATGATGCTCATGCTTAAAAATGTTTTTCAGTTATTCTGCAAGTTTTTACTAATAAAGTTGGTTTTTCATTCAAAAATGGCAAGATTTGTTTAAAACTTCATTACAGATGTATACAAGAATAAATATCTGGTGGTAGTCGCTGGGATCGAAAGGTGAAACCAGTGTTTATTTAAAAGAAAAGAAAATACAGTACTTGTGAGTATACGTTTTAATGAATATTGTGCCATTTTGTATGAAAATGTTGCATCTTATTATTGAATTAAACTAATAGAACTATATTATGTATTTAAGCTTTTGGATTAAAGTGTCAAAATATTTAATGTTCTTTTAAAATTTGAGCTCTTGTATCAGAGTGGCAAATTTATTACAACATTAATATTAGAATATTTATATTATAAAATTTGAGCTCTTGTATTAGAGCGACAAATTTATTACGTTGATATTAGAATATTTCTATTATGAAATTTGAGCTCTTTTATTAGAGTGGCAAATTTATTACGTTGATATTAGTATATTTCTATTATGAAATTTGAGCTCTTGTATTAGAGTCACAAATTTATTACATTAATATTAGAATATTGCTATTATAAAATTTGAGCTTTTGTATTAAAGTGGCAAATTTATTACATTAATATAAGAATATTTCTATTATGAAATTTGAGCTTTTGCATTAGAGTCGCAAATCTCAAGGATTTTGCTGTGTGAATCAAGTTAGAGGCTTGAATTTTTTTTTTTTTTTTTATTTACTCTAGTATAATTTATTAAGAGCAAACTTCGCAGATTTTTGTTTATCGGAAAGCACATACGTTTTATTGCATTAAGTGTTTTAGGGAAAAAAATACATTGTGTCATTTTTTACACAATGTATTTTAAAAAATACATTGTGAATTTCTAATAAAAAAAGGTTAGATTGAGCAAGTTGATTTGAATTTTTGAATATGGACTAAAAGCCTTTTAAAATTAATTTTCAAAATATTGTCGAAGAGTTTTTCTATTTCCAAACATATCATTTCTTGCCAATGGTAGAATGCAAGATTTAATAGAAGTAGCCGAAGAATTAGGCGAGGAAGTGCTGCTAACTAGTAAGGTCCCAGAAATTAAAAAAAATAATCACTGAAAGTGAGTTTTACGATGAGGAAGAAGTTAAATTAATTCTAGACTGAATAATTGCTCAACGCTTGGCTCGAGAAGCGAGAGAAGTATGGCTAGCTCAGGAAGTGAGAGAACGCCTGGCTCAGAAAGCGAGAGAAGAAAGTCTGGCTCGAGAAGCAAGGGCATATGAATTGGAAATAAAGCGGCTTGAAATTGAAAATCAAGTAATACGAGATAGAGAATAAACAGTGAATATAGTAGAGTCAAGCAACAAAATCCAGTTGTCACAAATTACTCCAAAGTTTGATGAAAAAAGGGATGAAATGGGACTATATTTGATCAATTTTGAGAGAAAAGCTGAAATTGCTCAGGTTCCTAAGAAAGATTGGGTGGCTTATCACTTGGGTGTTTTACCCACCAAAATCTCCAATATGTTAGCCAGAGAACCATCTGAATAAGTACGAATATGTGAAAAATCTAATCTTAAGAAGATATAAACTTCACAGTGAAAAGCTGAAACAATGCTTTTATAGACATAAAAAAACTCCTGAAAAATCTTGGAGAAATTATGCTCATGAACTTTATAGTTATTTTTTGGAGTGGATTGCGGATTTAGAAATTCAGACATTTGAAAATCTGAAAGATTTTATTGTTACCGAGCAATTTAAATATAGGGTTTCCATGGAAGTAAAGGATCATTTTCTCGACCAATGGATGAATTTAAAATCTCCACATGAGCTAGCAGAAAAAATAGAAGAATAGGAGAGTATTAAACAGAGCTTTAAGGGGGAAAATCCTAGAAAACAAGGTTTGAAACTTCAAGAAAGTCATCAAAATGTGAACAAAATGCAAAGTGGTTATCAAAATAGACATAATCCTAAAGAAATCTCAAAAGATTTTGACCCTAAACCTAGAATTAGGACAGAATGTACTAATAAAATTCATGAGAGGGAATTTGAGAAAAGGAGACAACCTCGTTGTTATGAATGCAGATAGTACTTGCATCTTCGACCTCAGTGTGATAAAGAAGAATTTAGAAACTGTTGCATGCAATGAAACTGTACCCTCAAATGATTTTTCCAAAAATAGTTTTAAGGATATTATGACTCCATATACCAGCCTAGGTACAGTAAATTGCTATAAAATGCCCATACTTAGAGATACCGGTGCTACTTTGGATTTTATTTGCCAAAAGTATGCTCAGCCTTCCACGTATATGGGTGAGACCATGTGGATACGAAAACATCTGGAAGAACATCCAGTGTGCTTACCTTTGGTTGATGTAGAGCTTAAATGTGATCTTGGTCACATAATAACAAAGGCTACAGTCTTAAGAGATTCATTAGATCAAGGAAGGTATCTTCTAGGTAACAAAACCGCCAGCATTATTTGAAGAAACAAAACTAGATGAAGTTCAAATTCATATGATAAATGTCATACAAACTTGTGCTCAACAGCGACAACTAAAAGAAATGGAAAATCTGGTCTCAAAAATGAGTTAAATTCTGAAATTGAACTTAATAACAAAGACACATTGACTGAAAATGAAAGTTTGCCTCCTGTGAAATATGAACGTTCAGAATTAGATCTGATAAAAGTCTCTCCAGAAATATTTATACAAGAACAGAAGGAGAGCGTCAAATTGAAGCCGATTTATGAAGAAGCTAAAATAAAGTCTTCTAAGAGTATGAAGTCTATGTTGAAAGGACAAATGCTCTTTTTCAAAAAAAAAAAAAAAAAAAAGAAGAAGAAGATTATGATGGAACACAAAGACTATTGATTGTTGTTCCTGAAAAATATCGGAAATACTTGATGACTATTTCACATTAAGAAACAGCAGCCCATCTTGGTGCAACAAAGACCAAAGATGGATTATTCAAAAATTTGTATTGGCCAAATTGTTAAAAAGATGTCGAGAATTTTGTTAAAACTTGTGACAAATGTCAAAGAATCGAAAAGCTGCAAGATAAAATGAAAGCATCTTTGAAAATTGTCCCTGTTATCACAGAAATATTTTCAGAAATAAACGTTGAAGCTTGTGGGCCTCTGTTCGTGACACCTTCAGGAAATAAATATTTTATAACTGCAATCTGCATGTCTTCAAAATATCCGAATGCAGTTCCTGTCGCAAATCTTTGTTCAACCACGATCGTTGATGCTTTACTTCAAATTTGAATGGGAGAATGGGATTTCCAAAGGAGGTCCAAATTGACCAAGCTACACCTTTTACGAATGTGCTGACATCGAATTTCCTAGAAAAATTTAGAATTAAAGTTGCACAAAGTTCTGTTTACCACCCACAAAGCAATTTTGTAGAGAGGATGCATAGAACTTTGAACAGAATTCTTTATGAGTCCTATGTCTAGAATCTGGTCTGGACTGGGATAAAACCTTATCTCAGGCTTTATTTGCTCTTCGAACCACTATTCACGACAGTACCGGTTTCTCGCCCGCAGAATTAGTTCATGGCAGAAACTTAAGAACTCCAATTATGCTATTGTACAAAAAATTAGTACGAAAAATTATCTGGTAAAGAAGAGGAAGAAAATACAGTAGTGGACTATATTTTAGAACTAACGAATCGAATGAGGAAATGTCAAGAACTAGCTGTCTAGCATATGGAAGAAGCCAGAGAAAGGTAAAAACTCTGGTATGATTGCAGCGGTAGAACGTAAATTTCAAGAAGGAGACTTAATTGTAGATGTAGCTCCCACGAAGCCAAACAAACTATCAGTTAAATGGGTAGGTCTTGGAAAAATAGTTCAATAATTATCAGAGACAAATTATGTAGTCGAGTTTCCTGAGAAAAATAAAACTCAGGTGTACCACATTAATATACTGAAAACGTATTTTCAATGAGCAGAAAATATAAACTTGCTATGTTTAGAAGACAGGATAAATGGGTATGAAGATGAAATACCGAGTCTAAATTATAGCGCAGACACTAAAATGTCTGAAGTTTTGCAAGGCATCCAGTTGAATTCACTATTATCTGAAGACCAACAAAAAGATTTAAAGCAGTTGATATACAAGTATTCCTATATTATCTCTAATGAACCAGGATGTACAAATCGTACCAAACATGATATAGAATTAGAAGCAGAAAGGCCAATATGCGCAAAACCTTATTGGACATCTGCCAGGCAAACCAAGATTTTAAAAATGGAAGTAGAAAAGATGATAAAACTTAAAGTTGTAGAACCAAGTGAATCGGATTTTTACCTCTCCACTCATACTGGTTGAAGTTCCTGGAAAAGAGGCAAGACCATACATTGATTACCATCACTTGAATAAGGCAACTAGGACACAATATTTTCCTTTGCCAAACATTGAACATTTAGTGGAAAAAGTGTCATCTGCCAGATATATAACTGTTTTAGATTTTACTCGAGGTTACTGGCAAATCCCACTAACTAAACAAGCCCAGCGTTACGCAGCTTTTGTGACAAGTTTTGAAACATTTAAACCCTTAAGCTTACCTTTCTGGTTAAAAAGTGCACCGCTTGCGCTTGATGGCAGAATTATTAAGAAACTGTGAAGAATTTGCTGTACCCTATATTGACAATGTTGCAGTGTTTTCACAAACCTGGGAAGAATATCTGAAGCACTTAGAAATTATTTTGGAGAAGATGAAAACTGCTAAACTGGATATTAAGCCTTCGAAATGCCAGTTTGTGACCATCAAATATCTAGGTCATGTAGTAGGACAAGGTCAAAGAAGACTAGCAGAAATAAAAATCCAAGCCACAAAGGACTTCCCTGAACATTACCACGAAAACACAGGTCCGGTCATTTTTAGGACTTGTGAGGAATTATTGAAGGTATATTCCTGAATTTTCTGTGATTTCTGAACCACTGACAGATTTGTTAAAAGGAAAATTTTGCAAATCAACCATAAATTGGACTGATGACTGCCAAAACGCTTTTGATAAATTCAAGAAACGGTTAACACAAAATCCAGTCTTAAACAGTCCGATCTTTTCTCAGCCATTTATCGTTCAGTGTGAAGCTTCAAATATTGGTATTGGCATTATATTATCACAGATAAATGTTAAAGGTAAAGAACATCCAACAATATTTCTTAGCAAAAAGTTTTCACCTACTGAACAGAAGTACAGTAAAATAGAAAGGGAGTCTGCTGCCATTGTCTTTGCAGTACAAAGGTTAAAATTCTACCTAGATGGACCTCATAAGTTCATTATTCAGACTAATCATAATACTCTAGTATGGTTGGATAAAAACACTGGGACTAATTCTAGACTATTATGATGGGCTTTGATCTTACAACCTTTTAACTATGAAGTTGCGCATAGAAAGGGGAAGCACCATCAAAATGCTGACAGTTTAAGTCGTTGTATCCAAACATCTCACACCTAAAAAAGTACATTCTAGGAAGTTTAAAACTTCATTGTTTAAATTTTTTTAATATTAGAATATTACATTTTATATGTTTATTTAAAATGCTTCTTTTAAAGTATTTGTACTCATTTGGTCAGGTATCTAATTGTATTTGTTACAGATATGCTTGAACATCTTTCTCTTGTAAAAAAAAATAATGTATTTAAACTGAAATTTTTCTTGAAAGATCCATCAATTTGAAAGAAAAAACTTTTCTTCAAAAAGTTCCTCATGAGGGAAGGAATTTAAGACTGTAAAGTTGCTACGCTACCAAAAGAATTCCACTAAGAAATGTAAAGTACCACAGATGATTATCCGCAGACGATGAACGCGCTTAAAAACATTTTTCAATTATTCTGTAAGTTTTGACTAATGAAGTTGGTTTTTCATTCAAAAACGGCAAGATTTCTTTTAAACTTCATTACAGCATATAAGTTTACCTGACTTATGGAACTTTTCAACATACATGAATGAAAAAAAAATCTATAATTTTTACTGAAACTGATGGTAAAACTTCACACATACGATTACTTGGAACTATCATGTTTAATTTATGAAGTCTAATTTCCTACTTAACATATGAAAGAAAGATAAATATTTTATAAACCAGACTTCTGCATCATGTGAATCATATAAAGATTAAATTTTGTAATTGCAGAACCATTCTATTCCCAGTGCTGAATCTGTTTCATAAAATTGTCTTACTTTATATTGAAGAAACTTTATAGCTAGATGTAGATATCTAGTATTAATATCACATATTAAATCCTAGCGCATAACTCTGAATGACCAGTAGTCTGATATTGATTTTCTCAATAACACTTTCTACTTAATTGAAAACATGCATGCTTACTATAATGAGCCATGCCATAAATTGAGCTTGTCAAGGAATCTACCATCAAAAGTTGACTCTGATAGCTGCTATATTATAATGTTAACCACAATATGGCAATAAGTTGAGGCAAAGGGAGAAAGAATTGCTAGAAACCCCCATTGCAAAACATCTCTATTTATCTTGATACATCCCTAGCTGCAATCATTTTACTTGCATATAAATGTAACATTAGTTAATGATATCTTAGTTCAAGTACGCCCACTTTTATAGTTACCTCCTATAGGAAATAATTCAAAATTAATTTATATACTTGAAAAAATGGTATAAGGTAAAATTTCCTTGTAGTAGGTATGGATTAAGAGTAACCAACTAAAAAATATCAAAACTAAGAAATATATTAGAACTGGAGTAGTAAAGCCTGAAATATTAATATAAACTTGTAATATTAACAGCTAATAATTTGCAAGCATTAATTTTAATAACTGGCAGAGAAATTTATATATATATCCCCCGTAACTGAAAAACAGATATAATACATGCATATCACATTTTAAAGACACAATAAAAAATTAAACAGAATTTTTTTTTTTACTTTTTTTTATTAAACTGAATTTTATAATAACAATAAATTGATTTATTGATATACCTTTACTAATTTCTCAGATTCTCCCCTCCATTTACTTAACAATGTAGATGCAGATACTTTTAAAAACACTGCTCTGGATTCTGATGCAGCAGCATGTGCAAGAATAGTTTTACCAGAACCTAAAAATATTTCACTAAAAATGTTTAACTTAACAATCAATGAAGAAAAAATATAATCTTCTTCATATTTAACTTAGATAAACATAGTTTAGAACTGTGGTATTCAAACTGTTTCCACAATAGGGGTCATGAAAAATTGCATTGGAGCTGCATAGTAGATGAAAAAATTGCAAATAAATTTAATTGACTATAAATACATCATTGATAAACTTTTTGAGAAAAAAATTTTATTTTTAAAATTGTGAAGTTTTATTAAATTCCAAACAGATTATTCTGTTTTTAGAACAACAAATTTAAAGAGACCTCTATCTTTAAAAATGTTGTTCTGAAATGCATCCAGATATGCCTCGGACATCATCACATACTGTCTGTTCTGTAGAAATCAAGTTTAATACATTTTATAGGGGTGTCTTGGAGAATTGCTTTTCAGTTTGCTATCTTAACAGATTTAACAACAAACTGGCTTTCTCTATCTAGCCAATGTTCTGCAAAAACAAAATAATGATAAAACATTCATTTGGCTCATACCCACTTGAAATATATTAGCCCAATTTCTAAAGTGACTACCACCAATTAGCACCAGATATAATGGCAAGAACAATTCTCCTGGTAGACAGACAGTAACATCACTTTTCCCCAAGAAGATGCACGTGAAGATAAGATCGCAAATTCTGCTTATCATCAATTTAGCCCATTTGTGAGTTTAATTATTATTTTGGTGTAAAATTTATATTTAACTTAGCAGTTGTGTTAAATGGACCACTTTTAAATTAAAAATTTTACGTTTACTCAAAAATTGTTAGGATAATTGGGGGGGGGGGGGGAGAACAGACCATGAAGAAAAACACTTTGATTTCAGTTGCTTTAACTTTGAATACTGACCAAATACTTTTAGAGGCTTCTGCCTCTACAGAGTAAAAAGAAGAGAAGAGATATAAAGAAGTAAAAGCAAATAAATGAGTTCATAAATTTGACAACGAGTTTATAAACTATGATTTTGTACAGACTGAAGATGATAAACCAAGGGCTGGATGCATTCTGTCAGTACTATTAAATGAGTCTGCAAATAAACTACAGAAGCATCTAGACACCACTTAGAATCCAATGATAAAACCACTGAATTTTTCAGGAAAAAATATGCCATTTGAGATATAATCAAAACTTTATAACTACTTTTACAGTATTAACAAAAAACAAAACAAAAAAAAATATTTTTTATACAGTGAGCTATTGTATAGCTAAAACTAGCAAACCATTTGCAATTGCTGAGGAGTTAATTGTTCCAACAATCAAGGATACAATAGGCATTATGTTTGGTTAAAAGGAAAAGCAACAGATATATCAAATACCATTCTCTGGACACAAAAAATGGTCACATAATACACAAATGGTAGATAAAGTAGAAAGTGAATTTATAATAAGTTTGGAATACAAAAAAGTAAGTTTTTCAGTTTTTAGTTGGATGAATCCACTGACTGCCAAAATGCTGCACAATTAATTTGTTTTGCAAAATATAAGTACAAAAACGAAGTCACTGAACACTCCCCAAGGAACTAGAAAGGACTATGGAAGAAGAAATCTTTAAACTGGTAAATTTTTATGTCACAGGAAACAATGCTTTTTGGGAAAACTGTGTGGGGATGTGCAGTGCTGAAGCACTTGCCATAGTAGGAAAATACAGCAGACTTCTGGTCTGAGTTAAAAAAGTATCTGTCAATGTAACATGGGTTCACTGTATGATTCACAGAGATATGCTTGTACGGAAAAACATGCAATTGATTTTTAAGTCTGTCTTAGATAATGGAGTTAAAATAATAAATTTTATAAAGGTGCCTCCCTTGAACAAAAGAATTTCTTTGTTCAAGGGAGCAGAAGCAACTGAAGTATTTTTCAGTCTGTACAAAACCATAGTTTGTATGCAGAGAAATGGGCAGTAAACAAAAGCAATTTGTTTTACATACAGAGGTGCACTGGCTTTTGAGGAATAGGGCCCTAACAAGACTATGAGAGAAAAAGTGAAAATATTAATTGATAATGCATTACTAGCAATCAAAATGAACATTTTGCTCTCCAGGATGTAAATGATCATATGGCAAAATACGCTAAATTTCCCAGAAAAATGGCAAAGGACTGTGCTTTCACATCTTTAAAAGAACTCAAGGAATATAATCTTCCACATTAATTGTTGACAAAAGTGCTGTCATTTCTACCACCAAATGTTTAATATTACACTTAAAATTTAGATGCCAACATAATAACCAGTATAAAATTACTTTTGCTGGAATAATTCAATTAAAATCTTATGATTGAATCTTTTTTCAGTTGCTTCTGCAATAAAAGAATTTTACACACACACACACACACACAAAAAAAAAAATAAAAATAAAATAAAATAAATAAATAAATAATAATAATAATAATAATAATTATTATTATTATTATTTACAAAACATAGTTATGTTTACTTCTGATGGGACAGCTGCTTTGCTAGGTCAGATAAATGGGGTAACAGCAGTACTAAAAAAAACACACCATATTTTGTTTGACAACACTGTGTTGCACATCTCGAAGATTTTGGTATTTGCTATGTTTCAAAAGAAATTAAATTAATGAAAGATACTGAAAGTTGATGAGAATTATACATATCATATTTCTTAAATCTGCAAAAAAGTGAGATTCAAAGATTTTGCTATTGCTTTAGAAAGTGATACTATTACATTTAAATCATTAAATGAAGTTAGATGGTTACCTAGACATTTTGTACTGAATGTAGTAATTAAAAGTTAGGAAACATTAATTAAATATTTTAAAGATGAAGCAAGTAATCCTGTTTCAAAATACTATTTACAGAAATGGGAAATTACTATATTTCAAATATATTTGCATGTTATGAATGATATTTTTGAAAAACTTGCAACATTGTGCAAAATTTTTCAATAGTGCAGATCACTTTATGCACATCAGTTTGTTCATGGTAAAATTAATGAATTTAAGAAACAATATATTAATCACAACAACATTAGTTGGAGTAATGCCGTGAAGTGTAGGAATGAGCAGTTTGATTAGACAGCGTTAAGTGCATATGATTTCAATAATGGCACAGAACTAGATGAAAAATTATGCATAAAATATAGTAACACATTAACAGATATAATGTAATGACTTTTTTCCCTTAAGATACATGCCTTTTAGAATCCACTTAGAATCCAATGATAAAACCACTTAGAACCACTGATACACTTACATGCGTCCAAAAAAATTAAAACTGATTATAAATTTTTTTCGGTATGGTAATGTTTTCATTACACAATGAATCATTGGTGAATCTTCGGATTATGGTAACTTGGCGATTTTTTGGCGACCAACCCTGCTACAGCAACCTGCTAGTTTTTTTTTTTTTTTTTTCCATGGAACAAAAGTGCTTAATCATGACAAAGATTAGGTTCGAAATTGGGAGAAAGTGTAGAATCGCCCACTGCTTATCGCGTTTTTAAGAATTGCATACACACAGTATCCATGTACACGTCGACCTATTTTCACTTACAAAAACATCCCAGAATTGAACAAAAATGGCATTGTGCACACTCTTGACTTTATCCATGTACACTGCTAAAGTCCTAGCTAGTAACCTTTATCGCCTTACCAAAATGTCGCGAAACTACCTGTTACCATATTCCAAAGATTAGCTGAATCATTTTCCAAACTTAAAATTAATCAATATTGTTCATCTAGTAGTAATTGTGAATAAGTTTTCAGTTTAGTGAATTAATAAAAAATAAACAAAGGAATCATTTGAAAGATCATTTTATGTTTATGCAAAATCATATTTAAGTAGTGGAAACAATATTAATTTGGATCAGATATATGGTTAATGGTTAAATTTTAAAGATAGAAGAGAAAAGATCTCATGTATACTTATATAAATGCAGTATTTATTTATTTATTTTTAATAAATCTGAACATTATTACTATAGTTAAACTTTATTTCAGCAAATAATTTTTATGTTTACATGCATATTAATGCATTAATTTTTATAATTAATAAACAGTTTTTAAAATATGCATGTTTTTGAAAATAATGAATGTTATTAAAATAAAATTAATTTAAATATTAAAGTGGGAGAAAAAATAAAAGCCATACACACATTTCTTGTGATAAAAAAAGTTGCACAGATCAAAATAAAATTGTACATCAATAATCAAAAATTAGAGGGAACACTGGACAGGACCTTTTTAAGAAAAACTGACTTGTATTCACGTTACACATGGAGTAAACATACCAGGTGGCCCATACAGCAAAATCCCTTTCCAAGTTGACATGACTGATGTAAAAAGTTGACCATACTGCAAGCAGAGGAGGTTTCATATAACAACAGCAAGCTATAAAATTATACATTATAAACAAACTGAAAGAAGATGCTTATTTTATAAAAAATCATCTTACTTTCACAGGATAAACAATGGCTTCCTTTAACAGTTCTTTAGCCCTTTCATGGCCAATGATATCGTGCCAATTAGCAGAATAATTCTGGCATTTTATATCCTAATACAAAATGAAAAAGGTCAAACAAACTTTTTATATACAAACTTTTCACATCATTAAAATTGGGACTTCAGCAACATAATGATGGATACAATTTCGAGAAGGTTGTGTGATAAATATAATTATTTATACTAAGCTATCATATATTCCAAACTAATTACTAAACTTCTATAAATACAATACAAAGTCTGAGATCTAGAATCATCAGGACTTCAATGATTCTGCATTTTAGATTACCAGTTTAAATTTAGTAAGATGATATATAGAAAATATAAAATAAAAAAGATTAAATAGTTGTGTATGAAATAAAGAAGCATTTATAACCTTAGGGAAATTAAAATTTACCCTCACCCCTCAATATTTATTTATTTGTTTTATTAAACAATTGTTTATATATAAGCTGTTTCATTTTTTTCTGTAAGTATGTGCTAACACTTTCTCCTTAATTTAGAAGATATAATTTTTAGAAGTAGATATAATTTTTTACTCAGTTAAAAAGTTCCAGTGTTCAATGTCTGTAACTGCTGCGTCAAGAATTCCCATTTAAGTGGTCAATCGAAATCTTTTCATTTTTAACAACCTCTTCATCACTTTCCATCAGCGCCAGAGCCAGTGTAATCCATGGCCGAATTTAGGAGCAGAACATTTTTTACAATCTAAAGAGATACAGGCTGGCAGAATTTAGGAAGAGCAGAAATTGCTGTGGGCAGCAAATTGTCTATTGCTGTCTCTGATTGTTAGGAATATTTTCTGGATTTATAAAGCACAATATAAAAACAATTACTTCAGCTGTAAGTTAGTTGATTCATGATTACAGCATTGTCATTGCAATGGAAAACTAATGTTACATTATCTTATTTTTTTTATTATTATTTCTTTGCATCTTTTCACAAATTCTACCAATAAAAAATTTTGCCTTTTATTTGTGAAATCCTAAAATCTTCAAATTCATGGCTATCATCATCATAATCATCATGAAATATGCTAACTGGCAATAAATTATACTGATCATTTTAAAAGATATCTGCAGAATGTCTTCCCATTACTATGCAATGCTTCACACAAAAGATTTTATGTTAAAATATTAAAAAGAATTCTCGAATCATTTTGCAACTGTTCATAAATTTTTAAGAAAGAGTCTTCATATCTGCATTTCAGATGGCATAGAATCTTATATCCATTAGCTGAATAATGGATGTACAGATCAGAGTAAAGAATAAGAACATGGCATTATCATTTACAAAACTTGAGTGTGAGCTCAAAATTGCCCATAATTATGACAAATTTTACAATATTTTCTAGTGTTGCCAAGCTTTCAGTATGAAATGATTTTTCAAACCAATAATTAACTAATGTTTGTCTTTCATGTTTTTTAGTTGAATGATAAGATGACGGAATGACGGATGCTGATCAGTTGATGATAACATGATGGATGATGATCTTGCTTTGGAATCCTTGAGATCAAGTAGGGTTTTTCCTGCTGAAGTCCTCAAGATACTTTGGGATAAATATTGCCAGAAAAGACTAGTTTTATCAGCATTATAAATTGCTCTAGATCTAACTCTTCATTGTTAATGAGTTTGAAGAATTTATCCGAAAACTATCAGCTGAAGCTTTTTAACCTGAAATTTTTAAGTATTTCATGCAAAAGTGATTTTTAAATTTGGTTAACCAACCTGACAAATATGTGCACAAGGTTTTTAAGCTTATTTCCTCACAAAACACTTTGGTTTGAGGCATTAGCATTGATTCCTTCAGTGGCATGACCTCTCTGCCATGCAGTCTCATTCATTCAATCACTTTATCATAATCGTCATTTTTAGCACAATGAATTATTTTCCCATTATTTATTATTATGAGTCAAAATCCACAGATTTAAAACATTTTTTTTTCTGTCAAATACCACTGAATTTGCTGTGCTACACTCATCATATAATTATGAGACAGATATCCTTTTAACTATTTTTTTAGCAATTCCACTTTTTGCTTGATTGACATCAAAAGATGCTTTCATTTTGCAGATCCTGCTGCAGCTCTAGAATTGAAAAATTTTTAATACAAAAATTTTAATTTTAATTTTTTATAAGATAATTGTAATAATAATAGCTTGCAAAATTAATAAACTAGATCAAACCAGAAAGGAAGAATGCAGTTTGGTATGTTTATTTAAGTTTTTTGGAGTCTAATTCTTTTGTTCTTCGCTGCTGCTGTTCCAACAAAAGTAAACCAGTAATGTCTTACATCTTTACTTATGTTTAGGTCTGATCAAAATATACTACCCCTTCATGAGCATTCAAAATCTGAAAGTGTGGTCACAGTGAACGTCAATCAATGTATTGTCACTGGCCACAGTGTGTTTCTCCAGCTAGCAGGTGTTTGCAGGTGACAGGCAGGAATTTCAGTTAGTTAGGAGAAAAATTGCATATTTGTCTTTTCTGAGTATTATACTCTCCATTCATAGACTTTGTAAGGTGAAAAAATAATTAAAAAAGTTCTAATGGTTTAAAGGTCTGGATACTGGATGAAAATTTTGGACTTTCTACTGTACTCTGAATAAATTTTTTAAAAAAAAATCCAATTTTGTCTAATTTTTATTACGTTTCTTTTCAAGATTAAAACAAAAATAATGATGCCTTTGGAAACATGTAGACCAGAGCTTCTCAACTAATGAGGATTCCTTCTTGGGAAGGGATTTCATAGTTTCAGCCTTTTATTTATTTACTTATTATGTATTTAGTTTTAGTTTATGAATATAAAAAACTACTTTTATTCAAGTTTTAGTATTTATCAACATTTTCTATACTTTTTCTTGTTTAATTTATATTTTGGACTTTCTACTGTACTCTGAATACATTAAAAATACCATTTTTGCCAAATTTTCATTATTTTTTCTTTTCAAGAATAAAACAGAAATAATGATAACTTTGGAAACATGTAGACCACAGTTTCTCAACTAAGGGGAAATTCCTCCCTCGGGAAGAATTTCATAGTTTCAGAGGGAATGTGGTAAGCTTTTATTTACTTATTATGCTTTTATTACTGGAGACTTTTTTTACTTTTATTTATTTATTACTATTATTTATTGTTTTAGTTTATGATATATATAATGTAATAATAAAATTCCATAGTCAGAATACAACTTAAATTTCTAACTGTATGTTTCTTTCATTTTTAATGGCGACGGTCTCTTATTGAAATTACGGAATTAAATCCACAGCCCCGTAGTCAAGTTGTTTTCCCGCCTTTTCTACACATACAGTTATATAAATTTCTGGAAATATTTAAGCGACTGGAATGGCTGATGAGGCTGACGTCATTTCTTGGAAGCTCCGCCTTTCTAGAGGCTATAAAGGATTCGCAAAGGAATATTGGGTCCTTTTTCTTTTTAATGTAAAGATGCTAAAACTTCATCAAAATTATTATATCTTTTTTATTTTACTCTGGAGATCAGATTTTTTGTAATGCTATTTCTCCCTGAATAATAAAAATGATCCTGTTTTTTTAACTTATCGTCTGATAATTTAACTACAACTACATCTATGATTCTTCAATCTCACCAAATATTATTTCCGGACAAAAGCTGTGTACATCACATATATATTAAAACTATACTTTTATTCAAGTTTTAATATTTTATCAACATTTTTTTAACACTTTTCTTGTTTAATTATAAATACATTCCCATAATACAAATTTAAATAAATGTATATGTATTTTTTAGGTTTTGAAAAGGAGGGGTGGAGACCATCTAGTAATGGTTAAGAGGAGTATAAGACAAAAAATGCTGAAAACCACTGATGTAGACAAATCTAAATTATAAAAATCTTAGACTAAAATTTAGTTTCAATACATTGCATTACTTTGAATTTAAACTACAGTAAGATTTTAAAATAAATTTTATAAAAATGCTAAAAAATAGCTGCTTAGTATAATTTTAAAACTACATAAACGGTAAAAAGTACAATCTTATGATTGGTATTGAAAAATAAGAATTAATTACTTAAATAGGTACTAACAAAAATATATATTGTTTTGATTTTTAGCCAGACACATGGAACTTAATGTATTTTGGCCAATATGTATGGGCTCTTTAGCCATTTCATCACCTAGAACAGCAGCTCGCAACTTGTTGTGCATATACCCCTGACGGTACATAGCAGCATAGCCAGGGGTACGGGAAACAATTATCAGTAATGGCAGAAAATAATGCACAATGATGAATGAATGGCTTCAAGGACTTGCATTATACAATATTTTTGCAGAAGTAAATAAACTGTGCTTAGGTTCACTGAACAATTTCATAATAGTTCTTAAAGTGGCTGAAGAAACTGATTCTATGCTCAGTACGGTATAAAAGTTTTGACTTCTGAGAATCACGCATTGAAAATAAATTACACCACAATTTTCGAGCCACTTTACAAATTCTTGTCAGAAAAATTAACTTCAGTTTACAAAGACAACATAAGAATTTAATTAAAATGCCTCCGAGAATTGTTCAAGCATTACTCGCCAGATCATATCAATGAAAATGCCTTTACAGCAGCCTCAAATTTAACATTCTACGATAAGAGAAACATATACTTTTCTGACTTTACTTACTGCAGATTATAAATTTTACAGTACAGTCAAAAGTCGTTAATCCGGACTCGTCGGGACTTCGGCGATTCCGGATTATCTATCATCAGTTTAAATCTGGTAAGATGGCATGCAGAAATTCTAAAATTAAAAATATGAAACCGTAATTTATGAAATAAAGAACAATTATGATCTAAGGGTATCAAAATTTACAAAAAGTAAACTTAATTTTTTTGTTTACTTTATTAAACATTTCTTTCATGTAAGTTCTTTTGTTTCAATGTGATATACTTTCTCTTTAATTCTTTAACAGACATAATTTCTTGTTTTAGTTACAAAGTTTCCGCTGTTCAGTCCTATAATTGCTGTTCTTCACAATTGGAAGCGAATTATAATGACGGAACTTGATTTTTATCACATCAAGA